ACGGAGGGTGGCGCGATCTCTGATTCTGCAGTTGACTACAAGCTTGCCGGCGACAGCCGCTCGGCGCTGACTGCAGCTGACCTCGCCGCGCAGTGCGCTGTTGTCGAAGGCCTCGAGAGGGCATGGCCAGGCCTCCGCATCGTTGGAGAGGAGGACCTCGCGTGCTCGGTCGACTCGGACGCCGCAATGGGTGGCGTGTGCACGTCTGACCTCGCGTGGTCCGTTGCCGCCGCTGAGCAGGACCGGCCTCCGCCGCGACCTCGTCTCCGCCCTCCTCGAGGAGTCTGCCCCTGAGGCGGCGGCCGGTGGGCCCCTGTCAGACAGTGGAGAGGTCTCTGCTCGAGGAGTGAGAGAGGGAGTGTGGCAAGGAAAGGGCAAGCCGGGGGGGGGGAGGGGGGGGCGTCCCTGAACCCCTCCAGCGGCCTTGCAGCGCTCTCCAGGACCAGCAGCGGAGCGCTGCTGCTGGGGCGGGGGGGTCGGGGTCGGCCATCCCATGGGCTTAGAGGTGTACAGGGGGGGTAAAGAATTTTACAATTGAAAAGCCGTACCGAGCAGTGTGGGGTGTGTGCGGCCGGTAAGGTAAGGTAAAGGTAAGGTAAACTTCTCCACACACACGAGGTGGTGGGGCAAGGGGGGGCAACCCTCGCGTCTCGTGCGGCCGCCCTTGTGGTTCGGAAACAATCCACGGACGATTCAGCAACACTGTTGCCACACCTCAAAAGTTGCTGTCCTTCTTCATATAGTCCGCTGCGTCTCTCACGTCCCGCTTCCCGCCGCCGCTGGAGCGCTGCGTCGCGTACTCGCGCGCGATGGAGCCGGCAAAGTCGTCTCCGCCGCCACGCACGAGGGCGCCCAGCCGCTGCCGCTTCTCGCGCCGCGCCGCATCTGCCGCATGCATTAGGTCGCGCATCTGCGCAGTGTCGGGCCGAGGCGGGACCGGCGCGTGCGCGGCGACGCCATACGCCTCGCCCTCGCCCTCGTTCATGTGCGCCAGCAGGGCGGCGCGGCGCGCGCGACCTGCGTGCTGAAGACGCCAACCTCAGGGCGGAAAGACGGGAGCGTGCAGAGTCTTCAGAGCACCGTGCGGGCTACAGACGCAGCGAGTACAGGTGAATACGGCCGAATACGCGGGATGTGTGTCCTCTCCAGCGCTGTTTGGATGGCGATTGTACGTATACTCTGCTTCTCTCGGACCCGGAGCCCCGCCATGCTGCCGGATATGGGGAGATGCAGGGGGAGATATGGGGAGACATTCCGCCTCTAGGGCGCGCGGCCCTCGGTGTCGGCGGCGCTGTCGTCGAGCTTGAGACGCTTGCCCGTGATGACTGAGCGCTGGACTGTCTCGCGGTCGCGCTTCTTCTTCTTCTCCTTCTTGCGGCCTCTCTTGGCCTCCTTCTTGCTACTCTTCTTCGCCTCCTTCCTCTCGCGCCTCTTCTTCTCCCTCTTCTCCTTCTTCTTGTCCTTCTTCCTCTCCTTCCGCTTCCGCGCCGCGCCGCTGCTCTCCGACGACGACGACGACGAGTCCGAGTCGGACCCGGAGCCTGACTCGTCCGACTCGCGCGGCCGCTTCGGCCCTGAGGCGGCCGCCTTTGGCCCCTCGGAGGCCATCGCCGCCTTTGCGTCTCTCTCCTGCTGCTCCTCCACCTCGCGCCGCGCCTTGTCCTCGAGCTCCTTGCGGTAGCGGATCCCCTCCTTGACGAGCGGCTCGTTGATGTCGATCAGCTCCACGTCAAACAACAAGTCCGCGTTCGCCGGCACGTTCGGCGGCGAGCCGGCCGCGCCATACCCGTCCACCGCTCCGACGTGGAGCTTCACGCGCTGGCCCTTGCAGAGCCGGAGCAGCAGCACGTCCCACCCCTTGATGACTTTGCCGCAGCCGACGGTGAAGGTGAAGGCATGCCCGCGCGCGCGCGAGGAGTCGAAGCAGCGGCCCGTCGCTGCGAGGCAGCCCGTGTAGTGGACCAGCAGCTTGTCGCCCACCTTTGGGAACGAGGCGCCGTCGCCGGGCTCCAGCTCGTCAACGATCCGGGTCGAGACGGACTCGAGCTGTATAGAGGCGGAGACGCTCATGTGTGTACACACCGAAGGAGAGAACGCGGCGCGGGTCAAAAGAGAATTCTTGGGCCTTGTCCGAAATACGTTAGCGCATCACACTCCTCTCCTTAAAATCCCTGTGTGGTGGCGGCGTGCCGTCCTCCCATCCCTCCCTTGGGTTGTGTGTTTTCTTTCTTTCTTTCTTTACGTCAGCTGCCGTAGAGGCACGAGTGTTCGAAGAGAGAGTGGACCTGAGCAACAACATGACCTGTGTGGCGGCGTGCCATCCTCCTTCGGTTTGTCTGTTTTCTTTCTTTCGACGCGTCCACCCTAGCGCGACCATCCGAGAGGACCGACGCTGCCTCCTCGCCTCCGCCACCTCTCCGAAATCCTCCGTCCGTCCGGCGCCTCCGCCGCCGGCGCCGCCTCCTCCTCCTCCTCCGTTCCGTCCGTTCACTTTCACCGACGCCAGCATGGTCACCGCCTTGGATGACCCTCGCTGCTCGATGCCTTGCGCTCGCACGCCTCTGTGCCGGCTCTCAAGAGTGCTCGAGACAAAAGAATTTTTATACAAATCCAACTCAGAGAAGAGAAAGGGATCCCGCTCATCCAACCAAACTCGATCGATCTCTCCCCCGCGTCTTGCCACCCACCTCGGTCCACCTCCTAGGATGCCCACATGCCGGAGGAGAATCACGGGTCATCGCCGTCGACATGGCGGGTCATTCAGCGCGATTATTTTGGACGACACCTCTCCTTGCCGAAGGTTGGGCTGAGTGGGGCGAGAGACGCTGCTCGTGCGAGAGGGGTGCGCTTCCGCCGCTTGGTTGGTTGCATCTGCCGGCCATGCAGGACGAGCGGCCGCTGGCGCTCGCGGTGGTCGTCGCGTGCGCCATCGGCCTCTTCTCGGTCCTCCTCACCGAGCTCGTCCTGCGCAGCGGCGCCAGCCGCCGCCTGGCGTCAGCGGTCCCGCCGGAGCTAAAGTGCTTTGTGTCGGGGCTGCTCTCCGGGCTGGGGCTGCTGGTGATGCTGCCGCTTGCGCTCGACCAGCTGACCGCCGCGGGATGGCCGTACGAGCACATCCTGCTCGCGTTTCTCGCCGGGCCGCTCGCGACCTTCTTCGTCAACCACGTCATGCTCGACCACCAGCACGCCGACGACCCCTCCGCTGCGCCGCACTCGCACGGACGGCGGTCGGACGGGACGCAGATCCTGTGCGGCCAGGCGACGCCCGCAAAGTTCACCTTTGGCGGAGCGCCACAGCTCGTTTGCCAGGTCTCCGGTCGGAGTCCCGAGGCGCTTGCAGACGAGGAGAGCGCGGGGGCGGCGTGGGCGGACAAGCTGTCGGTGGTCTGCGGCGCCGTGCCCTTCACGATCCACGCCGCCGTCGACGGGTCGATCCTCGGCACCGCCCACTCCCCCGTCCTGCTCGCTTCGCTGGCGCTGCCAATCACGCTGTGCGCGGTGCAGGACGTCGCCACGATCGTGCCCGCTCTGTCTGCGAGCCGCGCCTCCGAGATGAGAAAGTCGAGCTCACCCCCGCGCGCGGGTTCCCTTGCTTAGGTGCTCACTCTCTCCGCGAGCCGCGCCTCTCGGCGCGCGATCATCGCCTCCGCCGCCTGCTTCGGTGCGGGCTTCCCCATCGGCGCCGGTCTGCTCGTCGCGCTCGCCTCCTCGCCCTCCGCCGCCAGGGCCGCCCTCGCCCTCCCCGCCGTCGCCGCGGGCCTCTTCCTGTACATGGCGGTGTTCGAGTTTGCGCCGCCGCACGCGCATGGCCGCAAGGCGTCGCTAGCTCAGTGGCTCGCCTTCTCGAGCGGCGTCGCCCTCGCGTACGCCACCGAGGCGCTTGAGCACTGGGCGGAGGCGGCTGCGGTCGGGGCGGCGGCGAGGTGCGGCTCTCTCTCTCTCGGGGCACTGCTCGGGCCCCTCCCGACGTCCCCATTGCCTCGCCCCCCCCCGGCGCGCACTCTTCTCTGTCGCTCTCCCGAGATTGCAATCTCCCGAGATCGCTGTCCCTCTCAGATCTGTTGGCGTTTGTTGTCCCACGCTCTCTCCCTCCCAGCACGCGCCCTCCTCCCGCCGTTGCCTCGGCCCCCCCGGCGCGCACTCTTCTCTGTCGCTCTCCCCGAGATCGCTGTCCCTCTCAGATCTGTTGGCGTTTGTTGTCCCACGCTCTCTCCCTCCCAGCACGCGCCCTCCTCCCGCCGCCGCCGACTCCTCAGGGCGGACCTCGAGGCGACGCGCCGCACGGGCAACTCGACGGGCGCCGACTTTGGCGCCGGCTTTGGCGCCGACTTTGGCGCCGGCTTTGGCGCCGAGAGCGGCTTTGCCGCGGAGGCGCGGAGGGCGGAGGCCGTGGTCGCGGCGCTGGTGCTGGCCGGCGCGCTCGGCCTCGCGCTGGCGTGCTTTTGGCGGCCGCGGCGCGGGGCGGGTCGCGCGGGGCGCGCGTCGCGGGCGATGGCGAGGCGGGTCACGTCAGCGGGCGAGGCGGCCGCGGCGGCCGCGCGGCGATTGCGCGTGTCAACCAAGCGCCTCCGGCAGCCGTGGCGAGCGTCGAGGAGGCGGCGGGACGGGCAGTCGGCCAAGCTCGTGTCCGCTGCCCCGGCACTCGCAGACGACAAGGAGGAGGGGGAGGGCGAGAGCAACGCGCTCGCGATGAGTGTGGAGGAGGTCTAGGCGGTCGCAGGGTGAGGCGTTGTCGTGCTGTGTGCGCGAGTGTGCGGCCAGATTCTTATTCGTCGCGCCCCCGGAGCGTGCGAGGGGAGGAGCGAGAGCGCGAGAGCCGCGTTGGCGCGTGCTCGAGGTGTGCGGTGTGCATGGGGCCACATCGCCTGGCCTTCCCTCCGCTGTTGTTTTCGTTTTGATTGTTCGCATGGGGTATGGCTAGGGGGTCCAGGTGAGGCGGCTGAGGCAGCAGGAACACACGGCTCGTTGTGCGAGTATATGGGACACGATGTCTCAAATATGAGAGGTTTTGACTCCTACCGGCTCCTGACGCTATCCCTGGCAGCTCTAATGACCAGGATCAGAGTAGTGCTATGATAGAGGGTGCCCATACTAGCGCAGGAGCTGCCACACTCGCCCGGACCGGCTCCCTCTGGGGCCGGTTCCGCAGCCCGTGAGAGCCGACAGCGGGGCCGTGCTGCGGGTGCCTACTGCCGAGTGCCACAATCACTGCGCCGTCCCGCCATCACCTACAGGCTGTCTTGTGTGATGGTTGGGATGTCCAAACGCCACCATCTTGGCTCTTGCGACCTCAAACCCGCGAGCTGTATGGTGGTCCTGACGTCGACAGACGCCCGATGACCACGGTGAAGCTGAGCCGTAACGAGTCGACAAGTCTCGTCTGAGCCCGTGGCGGTCGCCGGCTGAGTCGCTGTGCACGGGCCGGTACCTCAGGCGTCACCTCCGCAGCCTCAGGTCTCACACTCCATCACCTCCGACGGGACGCCGTCGGTGGCACGCTCGGCGGCGACTTTGTGGCAGCCCCACAGCGAGCGCGGCGTCGAGCCCATTCGGTCTGGTCGGTTCGCGGCACTCCCTGGGTGCCAGGGAGTGCCGCCGACACGCGAGCGGTGCTTCCTGGCAGCGCGCGCCAGCTGTGGGGCTGCAACAAACTCGAGACACGCTTTTTGGGACATTTTCGACGCTTTTGTCCCATATACTCGCACAACATGCCACACTCACTCCGTAGCTACATATGGCGATCACCTCGCCCTCACCTCCGGCGTCACGTGGTGCCCCTCACCCTCGGCCGCCGCCCGCAGCCGCGCGACGAGCTCCTCCTTCCTCCCCGCCGTCGGCAGCCCCTGCGCAGCCAGCCGCCCCTTCAGCTCCGTGACCTTTAGCGTGGACAAGTCTAGGCCGGCCACCCCCTCCGTCGCTCCGCCCCCCTCCCCCTCCGCCCCCTCCGCCACGCCGCCGCCGCCAGCCGCCACGCCGCCGCCTCCAGCCGCCACGCCGCCGCCTCCCGCCCCCTCCGCGTCGCCCTCGCCCGAGCCGGCCACCCGCGCCAGCGCCGCCGCGCAGAGCTCGCCAATCAGCTCCGTGTGCGACGACGCCTCGCCGGCCGCCGACGCGGCGGCGCAGATGTCGACCACGCGCCTGAGGTCGCTCGCGTGCCGCCGCTCGGTCTGCCGCGCCGCCAACTCCGCCGCCGCCGCGCGCGCCTCGGCCACCCTGCGAGCCGCAAACGCGAGCGAGAGCTCCTTGGCCGCGGCCAGCGTCGAGCTCGTCGCCGACTCCGCGCGGGCGGCCTCCTCGTCGCGCGCCTCGATCCCCCTCTCCACCTCCCTCTCCACCTCCTTGCGCGCCGCCAGCGCCGCGGACAGCTCCTTGGCCGCCGCCACCGCCGAGCTAGTCGCTGTCTCGGCCCAAGCCGTCGACTGGTCGCGGGCCTCGAGCGCAAGCGCTGCGTCGCGCTGCGCCTCCGCGCGCTCAGCGTTCGCGGCCTTGACCGCCGACTCCTTCTCCGCATCCGCCGCCGCCGCCGCCGCCTCCGCCCGCAGCGCCGCCGCCTCGGCCGACGCCGCCCGCGCGGAGGCGGCGTCGCGAGCGGCGAGCGCAGCCGCGGCCTCCTGCTGCGCGGCCGCCGCTGCAGAGGTGGCTCGCGACACCGCCTCCTCCTTCTCCGCCCTCTCCCGCCGCGCCTTGCTCGAGGCGGCGGCGGCGGCGGACTCCGCGATCGCGGCTCGGACTGTCGCCGCGTCACGCGCCTGCGCCGCCTCGCTCGACGCCTCCTGCGCCGCCGCCGCCTCAGCATCCGCCGTGCGGATCGCAGTCAGCTTCTCGACATTCGCAGACTGCACCGCCTCCTCCTTCTCCTCGTTGGAGGTCCGCGGGGCCGTCGCCGCCGCCTCCGCCGCCGCCTCCGCCTGCT